TATGTATATATATATATATAAATATGTATATATATGTGTATATATATGTATATATATATATATATATATGTATATATATGTGTATATATATGTATATATATATATATATATATGAATAAGAAAATGTCCAATTATACATGGATTGTAAAATAAGAAACAGTTACAGATGATGTAATTTAATCCTTCAGGTTTTTGCTGAAGCTGCTGTAATCAACCCTATATATTTTCCTTGTGTTTCAGCTCATGTTGAAGAGGCACATGCGCATTGTCCACAAGATTTACAGCGTTAAAAACAACAAGTCTACAACAACACCACCCTCTGCTGCACCAGCAGCTCCTCAGAGCAACAGCAACAATAGCAGCAGCAGCACCAACAACAGCAGCAGCACCAACAACAACAACAGCAGCAGCACCAACAACAGCAGCAGTAACAGCACCACCAACAGCAGCATAAACCCCACCTCATCCACCACCACTACCACCACAACCACTGCAGTCCAAGGCAACAACAACATCAAAGTGAAGGAGGAGGCAGTGGAGCCCTCAGATGAAGAGGAGGAGGAAGAAGAAGAAGAGGAGGAGGAGGAGGAAGAGGAAATGGACAGTAGCCCCACCCCTTCTCCCAGTGAAAGCACAAGTGCAGCTAAAGGTGCTTCTTCAGCTCAGAACTCCTCAAAGGTAAAAGAGGAGGAGACACCCCTCAGCCCAAAGACCCCTCTAACCTCGCCATCCTCTCGCGGGACCACAGTTAGCAGCGGGAGCGTCACGACCAAAATGACCAAACTCTCCGTGGGTTTCGACTTCAAGCAGCTGTTCTGTAAACTGTGCAAGCGACAGTTCAGCTCCCGCCAGAACTTAACCAAACACATTGAGCTGCACACAGACGGCAACGACATCTTCATCAAGTTCTACCGCTGCCCTCTGTGTCGATACGAGTCCCGGCGCAAACGAGACGTCCTGCGGCACGTGACCGTGGTCCACAAGACTCCGTCTGCATACCTGGCCAAGATCATGCCCAAACTGGAGAGCAGGGCCGTGAAGAGGCTCGCCGAGGTGGTGCTCAACAGCACCAGTCCTAACAAGAGGACAAGCAGCAGCGTGAAGGAGGAGGTGAACGGACGCCATACCACACCCGCCTCCTCCTCTCCGTCTCCACCTGTCACACGCAAACAAGAGAGCGCCGCTCCGGCCCCAAACTCCTCCACTGCCGCCTCCTCCGCTGCATCTCCGGCGCCAACCCCTGTCACTCGAAAACAACAGGAGTCCTCCACGTTCACCCCGTCTCCTCCCGTCACTCGCAAAAAGGAGAAGCAGCTGAGCCACCAGCTTCAGCGTCCCATCAGCCCGCCGTTGACCCGTCGCAGCGACAAACACTCCCACCAGCGCAACTCCTCCTCCTCTTCATCCACCACCACCCCCAGCAGCACACCGCACACCGACGCGGAGGGCGGCAACCCAGGGACGTCCTCCACTGAAGTCAAAGTGACCAAAACCTTCTCGCTTCACGCCTGCGACCAGTGTGGACGAGCTTTTGCCAAGAAGGTATTTTTAATGTACACACAGATCAACCAAGCTTTTCATCTAAAGAAAATAGTCAAAATGAGGTAACTAAGGTAGTAGGACGATTTACTGATTTATTAAAAGAGGTTCCACAAAGATGTAGAGCCAATAAAGTTTGTTGGTTTGTAGTCTTTTATCAGTATGAGGCATTCAGTCTTTCTAAACTATTCACTGCTCAGGTCTGAAAGTATTTATTGCTAAGTTTTTTTTTGCGACTGTGCTTTTCTTAACAGGTATACTTGGAGTCTCACAAGCGAAGTCATCGTAACGCACCACCACCGGCAGCAGCCAGCAAGAGGAAAGGAGTCAGCACTCGCTCCAAATCTCTGGTTTGGTGAAAGCTGCGGAGTAAGAACCCAGAAACTGTAACGCATCGTCACTCTCTTCATCCTCTTCTCACTCTTACATCTGACGCCCTCTCTGTCCCTGCACTTGTGCTGTTTGTTTGACTGCTTTCCTTCTTCTATGCGCTTAAAATGTCTTCTAAGATACACTTCAGAAAATGTGTTTGTGTTTGTAAAAAAAATGCTACACTTCCTCAGTCTGAGCTGAGAAAAGAAAAAAAAAACAACCCACAGCCACCGCCAAACCTTTAATTGACCACTCATCACACTTACTCCATTCTTCCTTCCTCTCATTTCTCTGTGTCACACTGCTCATTAGAAAGTCCTCTCCGTCGGCCTGTAGCTGTGTGTTTTTCTCCCACATTTCTTCCTGAGTAATTATCTTTCCCTCCTTTTACTTGTCATGATGCTTACAGTCTGTTTTCTCTTCTTCCTTTTGTTCACTTCAACCTGTGTTTTTTTTCCCCTCTCTCTCTTTGCTCACAGTCTGTCGGGGATAACGGACGAGCAAGCCACTAACAACGAAAATGGAGTTTGAAAACTTTCGATTGGAAAAGTAACGGTAGTGGCTCAGACCAAGGATGGACGAGGTGAGCCGCGGGAACACTGAAGCACCACAATGTGCAGCAGAGAGCGCACAAGAACCAAAACTCTGGGTAGACAGTGACGACTTTTGTTTAAGTTCATCATCGTGAAGCCCCGTCCTGCTCACTGGACC